CTGGTTACTATTATTATTACAATACTAAATAACAGTAACTGACAATCTGACTGTGTAAGACATAAAATAAAATTCACATTATTTATTGCCCCCAAAAGAAAATAAATCTTGACTCTGTACAACTAGGACAAAATCAAGGACACATGATTTAGACAGTGAAAAGGCTATTTGCAAATTCTTCATTAAGTAACAGCTACTTAACTGGAATTTGTGTGTTGTGAATTAAAGAAAATATTACTACTGTTTTATTTTCTTTCACGACTTTTTACTAACAACCATAGCATTTGTAACTCTTACACATAAACCTAAAAAAACCCAAAAAAGTAACTTACTTAGAAGCTCCTGGCCTCCTGTTTCTCCATCTGCAGTGACCTTCCTCAAGGCTGCAAGATCAGTCTTCAGTTTGGAGTTCTCCATTTCCAGTTCCTGTAACTGCAGAGCCAACATACCTCAACGCAACAAACATACATTCATCTTTATTACTTCCCAGTTAATCAGTCAGATGAGAGTAGGACGTTGAATAAATCACAATAACACAATACACATACACGAGTGCATTTCATACTATTATAAATATTTAACATAGTATAAAAAAGAGTTCACATAAAGTAGTGACATATTACAAATAAATCCACCCATTACATACAGTAGATAAATTATACTATTCATTTATATTAAATGAAGACAAGGAAGTCTTGAAGTATGAAGTTCATTATGCACATAATCATCTCAATTAGAAGTCATCATACCAGAGCCTAAATAATTAAAATGTTCTAATGCTCCATGCCTGAGTGAAGATAGCATAAACACAAAAACTATTTGTAAATTATAAATGAACAGAAGATAACACGACAGAATATACCTTGAAAGTGTCGTGAGTCCTTGTTGCATCATCACTGGGACTGTCTTCCTTCTCTAGACATTCAATCCTCTCCTGCAGCCGGTTCCTCTCTTTCTCGACATCCTTCAACTTCTGTTGCAACTTCAGCATGAGTGCAACATCAGTCTAGAAACATGCAAGATATTAACTGTTAACCACTGGGCAAGATGTATCTGAATTCATGGTGTGGCACGACACTGAAAGTCCGAGTCAGTTTCAACGAACCTACATCTGTAAATGCTTATGTTACCTCATTATCACATCTAAGACTACATAACAACAAAACTTTTCTTTGTATTCATAATGGCTTCTTGTTTATAGTAAGACCACAAAGAGATGATTGTTAGTTTGGATATATGCACAGATATGACACAGAAATGATGATGGGCACAGAGATGGTCCCCGAGTTTTGACCATTTGACACACGTGATAGCCCGAAAGGATTTTAATTCAGTTTTCCATTAAAGTTTTAGGTCATACTAATAACTTTGTACAACAGAAAAGTATGACAATGAAAGAAAGCAAAATAAAACATAAAACTGCATGGAAATTTAAATTCCACAACACAATATTTATCTTCGCTCTTCCACAATTCTCAGTCATCCTATAGACGAGTACGGCAAAGACCGACCTGTTCTGAAGGCTTCTGTCTCTCAGGGCTGACTGTCTCAGACCTACTTCCTTGTTGCTGATTCCAGTCAATATTTTCCAGTTTCTGGTGACTTCCAAACGATGAAGCGCTGACTGTTGACCTTACAGAGCCGTAACCATAATCCTGCAAACACATATAACTCATTAGTGCAAGCACAGACCATTCATCATCAGAAGGACAAAGTATCCATTAAGTGCAACTGATAAAATCAATATGAAAATCAGATTCATAAACCAACAACAACGTAAACCTGCCCCATGAGAATTGCAACATTTAAAAGAAATCAACAAACTCAGAACGCTTACATCATCTGGTAATTCAGATGTAACACTGGCAGTGCTGGCATCAGACAGATTTCTTTCATGTCCCTTCTTGCCACCAGAAGCATTAGCTCCGCCCCTCTGCAGACGACCGATTTCCTTCTCCAGCATCTCACTACGCTGTTCTAAGGCATTATAGTCAGTAAGCAGCTTCTGGTACGCATCACGGTCTTGGTCATGCTCCCTTATCAAGAATAATTTCTCCTCTTCTAGCCGTGTCTTCATGAACTCTGTGAAAGCACAGAACACATGCATTTTGATTACAGAAAAAGGCAATAAAACTACGCAATTGCTGAGACAGCAACCACCAATTTTAGAAACTTTGGTAGAGTATTTTCAAACTGTGATCAGAAACTGAATTTAAAATTCAGGTAAATGGATTTTAAGCTAGTGTGCTGTCAGTACCAAGGTAATTTTTGTAATACACTGTATACAATTCTTGCATTATTTTGAAACACTTCTATATAGTGACAATGCTTTTGTTGAATAATTTTACTGTAAGTTTCACATTTACAGCTATTGCAGACAACCTAATCATCCTCTGCCCACATGCCAAAGCATTATTAAGATCAGAAGAATCAGGTTCTAATTATCTCTCTGCCCACATACCAAAGTATTATAAAGATCAGAAGAATCAGGTTCTAATTATGTTTGCTAATAACTTGTAAAATTAAGTGATACTTCTGTATACGCTACTGATTCAAGAATGAGACTTACTTTCTGCCCCAATCTGATTAGACTTAATTCTCTCATTCAGCTCATCTAGCTCAGCCTTAAGCTTAATATTTTCAGAATTCATTATTTCCAGTTCCTCTTTGCGTTCCTTCTCAATGCGCTCCTTCTCATTAACCAAATCGACCTTCTCATCTTGTTCATGCTCGAGTGATCTGACAACAGCTTCCAATTCACGTTCCTTATCATTAAGTACGATGGTGATGCGTTTTGTCTCTGCTTCCAGGCCCTTAAGAGACTCGACCTTAATCCGTAGATCTGCAAGTTCATGCTGTGTAGACTTGAGAATATTATTTTCTTTCACCTGGATAAAGAGATTACAATAGTTAATAAATGTGTTTACATTGCTGAAACTGAAAATTACATCCTCCAAGTATAACTGTAGAAGAAGCAACAAAATAATTCTACCATTTTATTACTTCTGATACAGTCCAAATTTCCAAATTCCAGAACTTTCAGTTTAAGTATAGGTAATTAACAAGAAGTTATAAATACCAACGCCACCTGTTATATGGATATTCCCTGTCATGCTGCAGGTAACAGACTTAGATTTTCATAAACTACCAACAGTCGCTTTGTGAGCAATAATACGTCACTTTCACCAAAAGGAAAAACAGTCAACTTGCAAATGATACCTCTCATTGTCTGACACACATTTTAATTCTCTTTCAAATAAAATTATATTTACAGGAATATAACCTGATTGTAAATAGATTTATAAAGATTACAATGCCTAATATAAAATAAAAGCAAAGATGATTTTCACACATAAATAAGCTACAAATTTCAACATTTTGATTTTGCTACATGTATAATCTTCATGTTACCAGGTCTTCCAATGAAAATCAAAACAGTTCATTATAGTAGGTGAATGTACACAGCTTAGTGGCATTTAAATAGACCAGCAGAGAGCCGTAGTGGTATTTAAAAGGGACCGCAAAGGGTTAAACATGCTGATTTGGAGGCATGTCTCTGCATCAAAAACTTTGT